TCAAGTCATAGTAATTTGAAGTTTACTGATAACATGATTACATATTTAGAAAATCTGCAAAGAAACAATTAAGACAATGGCTTTGTTAAATTCAATAGCATAACTCATTAGAAACAGCAGAATTCAGGAGGAAATAATAGAAAAGGAAGTCCTGTTCAAAGAAACTGTGAAAATACTTGAAATGTCTGGGAGTCAATCAATGCAAACTTAAGATCTAGTCTAGTAACACAATTACAAATCAATCTTTAATGAAATAGAGAATTACTTAAATAACAGGAAGGATATTCAGTGCTAATGGCTGGACCATGCCAATATAATAATAATGACAATCTTTCAACATTAATAACAACAATAGTAATTGCGACCCGAGGAAATCAGACAGTCATAAATCTATAGTTGGAATGGACCTAATCTAGCCCAGCAATGTCAAACTGAAGTAGAAACAGGCCACTAAAGTGCAGGTAAGGATCCCTGGGGCCACATGTTGACTTAGAAAAACACACTATTATCTATGTTACATTGTATTTTTATTTATTTTCTTAGATATTTCTCAATTATATTTCAATCTGGTTTCAGGGCATTCAAGCATTTTATGGGTAGTAGTCTGACACCTCTGAGTTAGCCTATCCTTCTCATTTTATGATTGAGGAAACTGAGGCCCAGAAATGGAAAGGAATATATCCACACATATACAAATACTTAAGTGGCAGATGTGAAATTTGAACCCAGATCCTCTGACTCCAGAACCAATGCTCTTTCAATTGTTCAACATTTCCAAAGGTCTATGGAGCTCCAAATCCGATGTTCTTACTTGTTGAATTGTGTTGAATTTGAGCTTTCAGAGAACATATGGCCCACTCTCAGGTCGTATTTGTGTGTTTTAGAGAAAGTTTCAACTTCAATTCATTAGGAAACTTTGCTTAGCTCTGATTTTCTTCTACCCACACTCTTATAACATCACTTTAGGGGAAGAAATGGGAGGTTCAGCACTCATCAATGAAGTCAGAAAGTGAAAACCTGAAGTGAAAGTCTTCCCGTCTGGCGCGGTATCACCTGCACGAAACACTTCATTTGCCATGTAGTAGCTTCACACTGTGTCCTCTACATCTTTCCAATTGGGTGAGACGGAGAGATGAAAGAATTGAAAAGTACCTTCCAAATCCAAGTTCCCAGCCCTAAAACCTAAAGCCATCCCCTCCTTCCCTTTCTGGATGTTAAAAAGGAAGCTAATTAGCCTCCGTGTAATCCTCACCCTGATCAGTGGCATGCCTGCTTAATTGTGACGATGCCCAAGAACTGATTCTCGATTCTCTGCAAGCCCTTTCAGGGATACCAACGATGGATTTCTCAGGAGTGAGTCTGTTCTTAATCATTATCAATAGTGCCCTAGGTTGTGTCTGAGAGCTTATCACCCTACTTAGGGTGGGCAATTATTTTTTTCTAGCTTGCATTTCACTGGCTACCCCCTCAACCTCATATGGCTTCTTGCCTGGGCTGTGCCTGCTTGATGAAGCTGACATCATTTAATTATTTAATCAAATCAATCATTTAAAAATATTTTATTCTGTAGATGCTATGTGCTAATAACAACTTATGTTTCTAGAGTGCTTTACATTTTACAAAGTTCTTTCTTCATGATACCTTTGCAAGGTAGGAAGTATAGGTATTATGAATGCATTTTATAGATGAAGAAATCAAGGCCCAGAGAAATTAAGTGACTTGGAAGCAGCTGGATGGTGCAGTGGCTAGAGATTTGGGTATAAAGTCAGGAAGACCCGCATTCAAATTTGGCCTCAGGCACTAACTAGTTGTGTGACCCTGGGCAACTCACTTAACCTCAGTTTCCTCAGTTAAAAATGGGGATAATAATTACACATACCCTACCCACCCAATGCTGCTGTGAGGATCAAATCAGACTATTACCCATAATATTTCAAGGCACTTAGCACATAGTAGGAGTTTAATAAATGCTTATTATCTTCCCCCTCCCTCTTACACTAGAGTATTCTGATGTTGTCTTCATTTGTGTGTGTGTGTGTGTGTGTGTGTGTGTGTGTGTGTGTGTGTGTGTGAGATGGATTCCTTTGGCCATTTAGTGGCCTATGGATGCCTTCTCTGAAGGACCTTTTAAAATATACAAAACGCATTGGATTGAAAAGTAGCCCAATTATTTTGAAATATATCACTGAATTTTTTTTTCAAAATCAAGTTCATGAATTCTAGATTAATAACCATGAGTCATTGCTAGCATCTGAGGTTTTCTTCAATTTGTCTGGAACGCTGAAGTCAGATGTCGCAGAACCTAGCAGTCTGCAATGATGAGCCCCTGGATTTTTCTCTCTGTTGAAAAAGTCCAGTTTCTGTAAGAAAGATCCCCTACTTTAAAGCTTGCCAACAGAATCTACTTAAGCAATGAGGTACATGATGTGAGCCTTCGATCTTAATCATTCCTCTTCCGTGTAATCAAAGTTAGTTTCTATGGAAGGTGGAACTGATTTCAGTCCGGGGCTTGGTGGGTTCACTGTTACTGATGGCTTGACAGTTGGAAATTGACAATTGCCTATTGGTATTGTGAGGGAGGAAAAGATCGATAAGTGGCCTGCATTATGATGTATAACTCCCTATTGTCTGTAGACCCCATCTTTGTTGAGTTCAAAAAGCATCACTTTTCACTTTGCATTTCAAAGTGAAGATTCCCTGAAAAGGACAGCAAAGGTTTAAAGGTGATTCTGGCCACAGAGACATTATGTTTTCAGTCAGTGAAATCAGTGCTTCTTGCATAACAATCAAAGAAAGGCCTTCACTTTGTCCATTTCTCTATGATAAAGTTTGCTTTTTTGAACATGCTTTGGCTGACTAGATTGTTTTCCCATATTGTATTGTTATACCATACTGAATCTTACTTTACTCATCTGTATAATGGAGGTAATAGCACTTGGGCCTACCTGATATCATTAGCATCAAATGGGATAAGAGATATAAAATTTGGGATAAAACAAATTATTTGTACATGTGTTAGATGGAGCAGCTAGGTGGTGCAGTGGATAGAGTGCCAGGCCTAGAGTCAGGAAGACTCATCTTCCTGAGTTCAAACCCAGCTGTAGATACTTTCTAGCTGTGCGACCCTGGGTAAGCCAGTTAACCTTGTTTGCCTCAGTTTCCTCATCTGTAAAATGAATGGGAGGAGGAAATAGCAAACCATTCTAGTATCTTTGTCAAGAAAATCCCAAATAGGGGCAGCTAGGTGGCACAGCGGATACAGCACCAGAACTGAAGTCAGGAGGACTTGAGTTCAAATTTGGCCTCAAACCAAGCACTTGATACTTACTAGCTGTGTGACCCTGGGCAAGTCACTTAACCCCAATTGCCTTAAAAAAAAATCCCAAATGGAGTCCCAAAAAGTCATACATGACCAAAATAAATGAACAACAACAACAAAATGTATTTATATATATATATATATATATATAAATGTTATATATATATATATAATGTTATATATATATAATATGTTTATATATATGTGTGTGTGCGCGTGTATATATACATATATGTGTGTGTATATATACAGATATACATATATGTGTATATATATACATATATACATATATATAATGTGTGTATATACTATATATACATATATAATGTATACATACATACATATATGTATGTATACATTATATGTGTGTGTGTGTGTATATATATATATACATATATATATATATATATATATATGTATATTATGTATAAAAAGGCAGCAGGGCATAGTCTATATAGTCAGCTGGCAGTCAGGAAGACCTAGCATCAAGTCTTACCTCTGATACCTGTTGGCTTTGTGGTCCTGGCCAAGTCATGATACTCACATTAGAACAGGTGCTAACCTGCATTGGTACAAGGAGGTTGTTCCCTATATCAATGGCATCATAGGTCTGATACCCTACAAAAATGAGTGTAATTAAAGCATAATTATATCATTTGAGCCCTAAAACAATCCTGTGTAGTGAGCCATTCACATGTTAGCATTTCCATTTAACAGATGAGGAAGGCGAGACTCAAAGAGTTTAAATGATGCCCAGTGTCATACAGCCAGTGAGGGTCAGAGCTGCCCTTGGAACTCAGCTTCAAATGCCCTTTTCAGTTTACCACACTGCCTTGAAACAAGAATAGATTATATACTGATAACGTTATGTGGTTTGCAAAATCATTTCTTTGCAAGAAGCCAGGGAAGGTGACAGTCTATTGTTATCCTGCTTTCACAGATGAGGAAAGAGAGGCTTTGGAAGATGCAGTCCCTTCCCCAGGCCAAGGAGCCAATAAGTGACAGCTAAGAATGAAGTCCAGTCTTGATTCCACGTGTGGTTACGTTTGTTTGTTTTTCACTTTGGCACATTTACCTTGAAAGGCAATCTGATCTCCCAAGACCTGTCCTTGGCTTATGCTGTGTGTGAGTGTCTCACACATATACACTCATGTAAGCACATACATATATACACATAGACATGTGTATGTACTTCAATAAAATATAGGTTAGATCAGATTGATATTAACATTAATAATGACATTAAATATCACTATTTTATTATAATTACATATTATAATGTTAACCAGTGATTTCAGTAACAACAAATGACTTGCTTACAAAATTTGTAAACAAAATGAAGTCAAGAGGGATAACTAATCCATTGGATGACAGAACCAGGAACCAAAAAGATATTTTTTTAACAAATTATAATGATGGGCTGAATTTAATAATATGAAATTTAATAAAAAGACATGTAAAATCTAGCATGACTTTAAACGGTACGGTATTGAGCCAATCTGATGGACATCCTCCAAACTAAGGTTTTATAGCCAATGCAATGTTTCTCTGCCCTCCCAGGGGGTGGAGAGCACGATTTTATTATACCCCACAAACAAGTTTCTTTTCCATGCATCAGCCAAACAGTGATCAGACCCAGATGTGGCATGGTTAACATCCATTCGTGTTTCTGTATTTTTAGGGCATGTCCACATAACTGACTTTAACATCGCCACTGTGATAAAAGGAGCAGAAAAGGCTTCCTCGATGGCTGGAACAAAGCCCTACATGGGTAAGTTTTATGATAAATTAGAAAAAAAACTTTAGTATACAGTAGGCACTTAATAAATGTTTATTGACTGGCTGAGAATGGTCTTTACTTAGGTTTTGGAACACAGAATGTTAGATCTGAAAGGAAGCTTAAAATACAGAATATTACAGCTGGCGGGTACCCTGGGATATACAATTGGAAGAGACTTTGTGGTCCGCTTGTTTCAGGTGTGTCTGACTTTTTGTGACCTCATTTAGGGTTTTCTTGGCAGAGATTCTGGAGTGGTTTGCCATGACCTTCTCCAGCTCATTTTACAGATAAGGAAACTGAGGCAAACAGGGTTAAATGACTTACTCAGAGTCACACAGGTTGTAAGTGTCTAAAGTCAGATTTGAATTCAGGAAGATAAGTCTTCCTGACTCTATGCACCACACCACCTAGCTGCCTATTGGAAGAAACCTTAAAGATTTAACAGGGATAGGGACTAGTTGAGGACTGGGTCTTTGGCTGCATTGGTATTCGGAACTATTTGAAAAAATACTTCTTTCTACCAATGCAGCCTTAAAAAGCTACCTAGAGCACTGAGAGATGACTTGTCCAAGGTCACACACACACACACACACACACACACACACACACACACACACATAGTCATAGGAAACACTTGAATTCAGCTTTTCCTCACTATTTGGAACTCATCCAGCTGTTCAACAAACATTGCACTATATGCAATGGATTATATTAGACTTTACCTTGAAAGCTGTCTTAAGACCATTTTACAATATACCTGCACACAACTGCATTATTCTTTTTAACACTAGATATATATTAAGAGAGTGTCCAACTCTAAAAACATTCAAAATCACTGTGTTAACCCAATGTTAAAGATGTTTGGAGATCAGGATATGTAGAGAATCAGCACATTTTTCACTTTGTATATTAAATGACTACAAAAATGGTAGCTCACATTTTAGTAACATTTTTTCCAAAAAGTGCCATCAAGTAGATATTGGAAATATTATCATCCCCATTTTACAGATGAGAAAACTGAGACTCACAGCAATAAAAAATTTGCCCATAGTCACCTACACAGTAAGTGCTTGAGTCAGAACTTGAAGCCAGCTACTTTGACTCCAAGGCCTGTGATTTTTTTTTCTTCACTATCCCAGGCTTTATCATAGTTTTAAATCACTGTAATAAAATTTTTATTATTTTGTAAAATCAGGACTCAGTTCATGAAAATAGATTCCTACTCTTCTATCAACAAATCCCAACCAATTAAGTGAAGTTAGACATGTATAATTATAATTTTATCTTAAATTTTAATCTTAAATTCTATCTTGAAATTAAATCTTAAATTTAATTTTTGTCTCAAAATTATTTTCTATTTGAATATTGGTAGTAAATTAAACACGCCAAACTTCTCTCCCTTTATTTATAAATTAAATAGATCTTAGAATGCATAACACAGAATGATAAAGCTAAAAGAGACCTTAATAGGCAGCTTTTCTCCAAGGTGAAAAACTACCTATAAGACATGAAATTATCTTTTGCGTTATGTAATTAATATATTCGTTATAAATATGAAATAGGGAAAAACAGGTCTTGTTTCTCTTTCTGGTAGTTCATTGGGTACAACTTATGTTTGAGGCAGTATGGTATAGTAGCTGGAGAGCCAATCTTGATTTCAGGAAGACCTGGGTTCAAGTACTACCTGGGACACATTTTGAGTGTGACCCTGGCCAAACCACTCAGCTTCTCTGTGCTCTGGCCAATTGGAGACTGTAACTGTAACTATAGCTTATAAGACTATACATTATGGGAAGAATGTAAAAAGATTATAAGACTATAAATTATGGGAATTGCTAATTTACATTAGTGAAGAGGGAAATTGTTCACTGGGGAGTTCTTCACAAAATCATAAGTCCAGACCAAAAGTGAATTTCCGTTTTTTTCCTATCCCTCTTCTCTCTCCCTCACTCCCTTCTTCCCTCTTCTCTTCTACCTTCTTTCTTTCCGTATGTATTCTCAAGTGAATTGTAAAATATGCTTAATTTTGAACTATACATGTCAGTAAAATTAATCTTTATAAGCATTAAATCCCTAGTATGTGCAGGGTAGAAGATTAGGTTTAAAATTGATTATGTCACTAAATTTAAGTAAAATAACATTAATTGTATATAGTATCATTGCTATATAGTCCCTCAGAACAGTACTTTTACAGCTTCTATACAGTAGTATTTTTAAAAAGTATTTTCAGAATATTTGAGAAAAGAGCAGTATTTTGAAATAAAATGCACTTTTATTATTTTGGCATATACTTTGTAATTGGGACAACAGTTAAAACATGCCATCAAACAAATTTCTGACCAGATTATCTTTCATAAACAAATAAGAATCTTTTATACTATTGTTGGTATTGTTCAGGGGTTTCAGTTCTGTCCAGTTCTTTGTGACCCCGTCTGGAGTTTTCTTGGCAAAGATACTGGAGTGGTTTGCCATTTCCTTCTCCAACTCATTTTGCAGATGATGAAACTGAGGCAACAGGGTTAAGTGACTCACTCAAGGTCACACAGCTAGTAAGTTTCTGAGGCTGGATATGAACCCCGGAAGATGAGTCTTCCTGATTCCAGGCCCAGCACTCTATCCACTGTACCACTTAGCTACTAGTCTAATCTTTATTAGTTTCCATACAAATGTGCAGAAAAACTGGTTCTGAGGTCTTCAGAGTAATTTGTGCCTTATTTAGTTAAAAATTCTCTTTAAAATCTTTCAACTTTTAATGGAGCTAAAGATAAAGTTTGTGAGCATTGAGGTTTTTTTTTTTAATATATCCACCAAATTGTCAGACTTCAGAGCTGGAAGGACCTTATATAGTTCAAGGCCTACCTACAACATGAATCTCTTCCATCACAGCTCTGAGGAATGGCCATCCAGTCTCTGCTTGAAGACATCTGGTGATGGAAAAGTCACTTTCTCCCAAGATAGCCCATTTTATCACTGGGTGGCTCTCTTAAGAAGTTCTTCATCTTGGACTAACTTCTGACTCCCTGATTTCCTTCCATATGTCCTGGTTTTGCCTTCTGGAGCTTTGGAGAACAACATGGCCTTCCAAAATTTGAAAAGCATTATCCTATGTCCCTTAAGCCTTCTCTTCTCCAGGCTAAACCTTCCCAATTCCTTCTCATGGTCTTCATATGACGTGATTCTTTAGTTTCTTCACTCTTCCGGGTTATCTAAAAAACAAGCTTGGTTTTACAAAACTGAACCCAGTTCATTGATGTATTTGATCACCCAACAGGCCTCTTTTGAGATTATGAATTTCTCCAAAGAGTTCTAATCCCTAGTCATAATTCACTGCTTCAAAGACTCTTGCCAAGGCCGTGGAAATCAGAGATAAGCAAGGAGCATATTCCATTGCTCTGAACCTTTGGGGCAATTTATATTATCTTGGTTCTCAATTCTGTCAATTTGAATTCTGTTATCACGAGCTAATGTATTAATGTGGAGTCAAATAAAACTGCTGCATTGGCCCGATGAGTCCTCTCCCAGCTAGGGAACCAAAGATAGGGAAAAGCAATGGAAAACCTGTTTTGTTTTAGTTTGTAATCATGGCTTGGCTGTTTACCATTAGGGATACTTACTGTACTGCATGAGAAAGTAGAGTAATAGTTTAATCACTTAATCAGTAAATAAAGAAGGTGCTGGCTTTAATGAGGTCCAGTACAAATTCAGAAATATAATGATGCAAAAATCTGAGAAAATTAATTCATGCTAAATGTACCAGATTAAACAAATTGGTAATAAAGACCTGTGGAAGGTTGCTACAAGTCAGATTCAAAAGCTCCAATCTAATGCCATATACTTTATTTGTTGAAGTTGATTAACTTGAATATGAATAGTTTCTAAGCAGGTAGGGTCATCTGTATCATGGTTCAGGGTTACTTTTCATTTTATTATTATTTTTGAGAATACCACCAAACTTGTCTGGTCAAGAAATAGGCCAATCTTTTTTTGCCATCTCCCTACCATTTCTGATATAATAACAGACATATACATTTATAGAAAAATTCTCATTTCAAAGGATTTCAAAAAAACTGTTTATGCTCCTAGAAAAATTAACCTTCTTTAAGGATCAAAAATCATGAATTCTGCTGAGGGAGGAAGTGTGATATAGTACGAATGACCCTGGACATAGAGTCAAAAGATGCCACCAGTGTGGATAACACTCCAATCCAAATCTTTTCTAAAAAAGTCTTGCCCTTCCCCTCTCTTCCTACCACATATGTCTGCAATCTATCCTTTGTATAGCTTGCCAAGTTGGTATTCTCTACAGTATAGACCAACCCATGTCATTCCCTGTCAAAGACACTGAAAAAACTCCTTATGCCCTCTAAGATAAGACAACAGCAATACCACTATTACTAACAACAGTATAATTTATATAGCACTTTAAGGTTTGCTAAGCACTTTACATACGGTATCTCACTTGATCCTCACAACAACCCTGGAGGTAGGTGCTATTATTATAAGGAAACTGAGGCTGAGAGATGATCAGTGACTTGGCTAGGGTTACAGAGCTAAGCAAATATACCTGAGGCAGGATTTGAACTCAGTTCTGACTCCAAGTCCGGAAGTCTATTCACCATGCCACCGCATAGCCCTCGTCTGTCTGGCATTTTAAGCCCTTCCCAATGTTTCTCCAGCTTGCCTGCCGGACTGATATCACATTATTCCCCTCACACTGTCGGCGTCCTAGCCATACTTTCCTATCTCCTGTTCCTCATTTATATCATTTAATCTCCAGTTTACATACTTTTGCAAAATTGTGCCTGGAAAGCTTTATCTCCTAATCTCCAGCCTAGGAATCCCTAGATCCTTTTGAGGCTCAACTCAAGAGCCGGTCCCAGAGTCTGATATACAGTAGGCACTTAGTAAGGTACATTGAATTCAATGGATCTGAGCCACTCAATGCCCTGGAGGTCTTTTGGTACGGTCTATCCATCTGTAACCTCTCCCTT